CCAGTATGAAATGGTTTATTTTGGGGAAACAAATCTTTGTTCAGATATGAGACTCACTGGGGTGGTCCTCAGCAAGCCAATCTCTTTCAGCTGGATCTACCTCGCAGGGCTTCCTTGGGGATGAAATGTTGCAATGATGGAAGGATAGGAAACAAATGTAGCTACTGCAATACATAAAACGGCTTTCTAATGGCTAAAATTAAAAATGGAGCATCTAGCCACACTCCTCATAGTCGGCATCAGGAAGGAAAAGAAATGGCCAGAAATATGTTACCTATGGTTTGCATAAAAGCTAGCAATAATAATAATAATAATAATAATAATAATAATAATAATAATTTATACCCAGCCACTCTGGGCGGCTTCCAACAAAACAATAAATACAATAGTCTGTCAAACATTAAAAGCTTCCCTAAACAGGGCTGCCTTCAGATGTCTTCTAAAAGTTTGGTAATTATTTTTCTCTTTGACATCAGGTGGGAGGGCGTTCCACAGGGTGGGTGCCACTACTGAGAAGGCCCTCTGCCTGGTTCCCTGTAACTTGGCTTCTCGTAGCGAGGGAACCGCCAGAAGGCCCTCGGCGCTGGACCTCAGTGTCCGGTCAGAACGATGGAGGTGGAGACGCTCCTTCAGGTATACTGGACCGAGGCCGTTTAGGGCTTTAAAGGTCAACACCAACACTTTGAATTGTGCTCGGAAACGTACTATGAGCCAGTGTAGGTCTTTCAAGACAGGTGTTATATGGTCTCGGCGGCCGCTCCCAGTCACCAGTCTAGATGCCGCATTCTGGATTAGTTGTAGTTTCTGGGTCACCTTCAAAGGTAGCCCCACATAGAGTGCATTGAAGTAGTCCAAGCGAGAGGTAACTAGAGCATGTACCACTCTGGAGAGACAGTGCGCGGGCAGGCAGGGTCTCAGCTTGCGTACCAGATGGAGCTGATAAACAGCTGCCCTGGACACAGAATTGACCTGTGCCTCCATGGACAGCTCTGAGTCCAGAATGACTCCCAGGCTGCGCACCCTGGTCCTTCAGGGGCTCAGTTACCCCATTCAGGACCAGGGAGTCCTCCACACCCACCTGTCTCCTGTCCCCCAAAAACAGTACTTCTGTCTTGTCAGGATTCAACCTCAATCTGTTAGCCGCCATCCATCCTCCAACGAGGGGAATTTTGCTTCCTGCACTGGTTGGAGTCACTGCCATCTTAAAATAAAGCAGCATCTGTGGTTGTTTTTTATATATATATATATATATATATACTTAAAAGAAATACTGTAATTGAATCTGGATGCCCTACTTCTAAGTCAGTTACTAGCTTGATTCCAACCTTCCCCCTTTATTGGCCTTTATTGACACATTAGGAAACAATGGTTTTCTTTATTGTTGGTTTGGCTTCTCTTCTGAACAAGGAACTGGGACTGTCCTTGTGGTTTTAGTCTATAATACTGGCTTAGAGACTGAGAAGTAACTGCACTCTACTGAGCACCTTAGATCCTTCTGCAACCTCTGATACCAAGTCTGTGAAACTTTGGCAAGTGCTTGTGGAATCAGTCTGGAATGGACCTGTTCATTTTGGGGAGATAAAGGACGTGGGCGGTAGTAATAAGTAGCTATTCATCATTTGCCCCCATTCCTGTTCAATGTGATATGCAATATCACATTTTGTCACTTATGATATATAGCTCTACACCTCCAATTTTCATCCAACTGAAATCCAGCAGTCTTGGAAGAGGACTGGATGCAGGCAAGCCAATGGACGATGGGGCTCACACAAAACTTACCGTATTTTTCGCTCTATAAGACGCACCAGACCATAAGACGCACCTAGTTTTTGGAGGAGGAAAACAAGAAAAAATAATATTCTGAATCTCAGAAGCCAGAACAGCAAGAGGGATCGCTGCACAGTGAAAGCAGCAATCCCTCTTGCTGTTCTGGCTTCTGGGATAGCTGCGCAGCCTGTATTCGCTCCATAAGACGCACACACATTTCCCCTTACTTTTTGGGACAGAAAAAGTGAGTCTTATAGAGCAAAAAATACGGTAATTAATGTTGCTTGTAAAATATGTGACCTAAGGAAAAATAGAGACTCCCACATGTTATTATTTTGCATTTTGCGTGTGTTTGGTTGTGGATTGTTCCAAGTATCTGGCAGATAAGCAACTCAGGCAGCAGTCTTGTATACATTTTCCTGGAATAAGTCCCACCAAACTCAGCCTAACATTTGAGGAGGTATGTTTAAAGATTCCACTATTGGTATGCAATCCTATGCACACTTACCTGGAAAGAAGCTCCATTGAACACAGTGGAATGTGCTTCTGAGTAAATGTGCACAAGGTCGCACAGCATGTTAACAAAAACAAAACAAAACTAGATTTAAAACAGTTTATCTTACATTTGTAATTTCATTTGTTTGGTTGAATGTTTTTTGCATTGGATATTTTGGATGCAAGATGTGTTTGATTGTTCATGCTTCAATTTACATAAAATACATGAATATGTAAAGCTACAAACCTATGCAAAATAGTTCTTCACTCCACAATAATTATTGCATCAAAATAAGCCCAGATGCACACCTGGCTAGGGGTACTTTCCTCGAGGAAAACTGCCAGAAGTGAAACACATTCCCTTCATCACACAAAACACAATCATTATATATTTATTTTTTTAAAAACCAAACCAAGGAAGGAGGAAGGATTATCTCAGTGTTTGTATTATTTATTGACTGAAGATTTTCTTGATCTCCAGGTGCATAACAGTTTCTCTTTCTAGAACAAAATTTCCTTCCAGGCTTATGAAAGGGATTCAGGTACTCAAAATAGTCACAAAAAATGAACAATATGAACAGTAAAACCCTCACCCCATATCACCTTTCTAATAGCAGTAGCATCTGAGATGAAAAAACACACAGCCAAGCATAGTACACAAGAAAGGTGTACAATGAGAACACCTTTCGCTTTACATTAATACTGTACTGGAATCAGCAGGTATAGCTATAATAGTCCTGCTATATAAGGTCAAAGTTCCTCCTACCCCAGTACTATTTTGCTTCTAGTTGGGATATGAAGTTCAGTTTTGTAATAAGCCTTTGTTACACTTCAGGAACACCTTTTGTTTTCTGTTCTACTTTTCCATTTTTCTAAGTTGTTCTGTATTGTAATTAATTTTTAAAAAATTTAAATTCACAAATTTAATTCCATTAAGATAACCCCTACTAGGCGGCTACTGGTGGGACTTTTCAGGGTGATGCCCCAGTTTTTGAATACTCTTGTGGGGGAAGGACCTACGCACTTGTTCTTTCACTGCTAGGCAAAGGCATGAGAAAAACCCTCCCTTCCCCACCAGGCCTTTTATAATCTTATATAACTCTACTGAAAGCACAGTATGCCATTTTTAGATGATGCTGTTTTTGGGTGTTGGTGAATGATTTGGTTTCCCATCAGTTTGTTATGTTTTCTATTGTATTTCTTCATTTTATAAGCTCCGCTGGGATCTCCTCTCTCTCTGTTTGGGCACAAATCTGTTTGGGCACAAAACCTAATGAATGGATTAATTAGATTTTTTTGCCACTTTCCCACCATGCTCCCCAAAGCAGCTTACAACAAATCCATAAATTTAGTTATCACAGCAAGTAACTTCTTGTTGTTGTTTAGTCATTTAGTTGTGTCCGACTCCTCGTGACCCCGTGGACCAGAGCACGCCAGGCACTCCTGTCTTCCACTGCCTCCCGCAGCTTGGTCAAACTCATGCTGGTAGCTTCAAGAACACTGTCCAACCATCTCGTCCTCTGTTGTCCCCTTCTCCTTGTGCTCTCAATCTTTCCCAACATCAGGGTCTTTTTCTCCCAAGAAGCAGGAGTCACCATCTGCAGTGATCATGGAGCCCAAGAAAGTAAAATCTCTCACTGCCTCCATCCCCCCTCCTCCTATTTGCCAGGAGGTGATGGGACCAGTGGCCATGATCTTAAGTTTTTTTTTTATGTTGAGCTTCACACCATATTTTGTAACTCTCCTCTTTCACCCTCATTAATAAGGTTCTTTAATTCCTCCTCACTTTCTGCCATCAAGGTTGTGTCATCTGCTTATCTGAGGTTGTTGATATTTCTTCCAGCAATCTTAATTCCGGCTTGGGATTCATCCAGCCCACCCTTTCGCATGATGAATTCTGCATATAAGTTAAATAAACAGGGAGACAATATACAGCCTTGTCATACTCCTTTCCCAATTTTGAACCAATCAGTTGTTCTATATCCAGTTCTAACTGTAGCTTCTTGTCCAACATAGAGATTTCTCAGGAGACAGATGAGGTGATCAGGCACTCCCATTTCTTTAAGAACTTGCCATAGTTTTGTACAGTCAATGAAGCAGACGTAGATGTCTTTCTGGAACTCTCTGGCTTTCTCCATAATCCAGCGCATGTTTGCAATTTGGTCTCTGGTTCCTCTGCCGCTTCGAAATCCAGCTTGCACTTCTAGGAGTTCTCGGTCCACATACTGCTTAAACCTGCCTTGTAGAATTTTGAGCATAACCTTGCTAGCGTGTGAAATGAGTGCAATTGTGAGGTACCCCGTGCTTTTTTTCTGGGGTACGCATACCCCTAAACATTTTGTGAATCTGTTTGGCCTCACTGAGGGGCAGTATTTCAATATGAGTAGGAAAATGAGAGTACCCTTAAACATTTTTTTAAGGGAAAAAAGCACTGCCAATTCCCTTTTAAAATGCGTTGGGGATGGGGGGCGGTTATTGGGTTGTTTTTATTTTTATTAAGTATTTTGTGTTGCTATGTTGTAACCGCCCAGAGACCTGCGGGTAGAGGGTGTACTACAAATAATAATAATTAATAATAATAATAATAATAATAACTGCCAAGCGTCTCCACCACCTGTCTCGCCCGCCCGACTCTGTCCCTCAATACCTTCTGCAGGGCCGAAGGCCACGCCCCCTCGCCGTTATGGCCACGCCCCCTCACCCGCTCCCTGCGCTTCCTCCCTGGCGGCCGCGCTGCGGAGTGACGTCACGCGCTCGAACGTAACCCCTCTCCTCGGGGCTGCAGCGACGACGACGACAACAACAAGGAAGTGATTGAGCGAGAAGAACCGCCGCCGAAGCCGCCGCCGAAGCCGACAGTCGCCGCAATCCCCCGCAGCTGACCGAGCCGCCTTTCCCGCCGCCGCCATCATGAACAGCAAAGGCAAGAGGCTGCTCCCGACCCCTCCCGCTCCTCCCCCCGCAACCCCGCCCAAGTCTCCTCAGCGCACTGCGAGGCGCTGCTCCTTTAAGGCTGGCGCCGCAGTCCCGTTATCTGCGGGCCTAGCCCGTAACTGGCGGCAGTCCTGGCCAATGGGAAGCCTCGGAAAGGCCTGTGTGTGGAGGGACGATGGGATGGGGGAAGGGCGGATGTTAGGTTGCTATGACGCAACCCTCCTGGCCAGAAAGTTAACCCTGTGGCTGCCGCGTGGGGGGTAAAGATGGGGGGGGGGGTTCGTGGGCAGAAAGAGCCCTCCGTTCCCCTTCGAGATCTGCGCTGTGGGAACACGGGGAGGAGTCACGTGGCCCCTTGGCAGCTCGCAGGCGCAGTGCTGCGGGGGCACCCGGGCTCCCCCGGACCGGGTCTCCCTTCCATCAGGCCCGCGTGAAAAGCTTGGGAACTGTAGCGCTGGAAGCCAGAGATGAAGGGAGGAGGGGGGAGATTGGATGCCGGGCTTTGGGGGAGGTGGGTCGCGTGGAGATGGGGAAGCCCCCGTGGGAATTAGGTGGTTGTGGGGGGAAAGTGATCTTCCCTTTTTTGCACAGCGGATCTGGACTGCAAAGAGAAGGTGCTGGGTGTTTGCATGTGTGTGTGTCGTCTGTTGCTGCCTGCAAACACGTACCCAAGGTCCCAAGCACCCAATCGCATCCTGGCGTTCCAGGATTATTACCCAGCATATTCAGTTCCTAATGGTAGCTTGGATTTCCCTCCCTCCAAACAGGCACTACTGTATTAAAATGCGCGTGAACGTTTGTTGATAAGTGTTTTTCATAGAATTGTAGAGATCGAAAGGGAGCGCAGGGGTCATCCAGTCCAACCCCCTGCAATGCAGGACAACACTGGGGCTCAAACCCACAGCCCTGAGATTGAGAATCTCATGCTCCATCCACTGAGCTATCAGGGTGCATGGACTGATAAACATTTCTCCGCTCCATCACTGCTTTCTCAAAACGCAGTTATGGGCCCAATAGGATCACCACTAACCAGGCAGGTGGTTTGTGATGCTGTTCTTGTCCCTGGTAAATGTCTGGGTCATAAGGTGAGGTAGGACAGTGAATTGAGGAAGGCCACAGAAAAGTTAACAGGAAAAAATTGTACCAGATCCTTAGGAAGAAGCTGGCAGGGGAAGGTAGCAGAGGAGGCTGCACCTATTGTCTGATTAAGACTGGACAGGAATAAACAGTGACCATTAAGACTAATCACAAGATTTGAGTGTCTCCTGCTTGGACAGACACTAATCCCATTTTTTGTTCCATAGTGGATCTCGCCCTGCATTTTTGCTTTGCTACTCTCTACCTGTATGACAGGTGTAATGCCAATAAACTGTATTTTACTTGACTTGACAAGCAGATTCTGGCCAGTCAGTGCATTTGGAATTAAGCCCAAGTTCAGTGTGTTGCTCACTGTAAAGTGAGCACATTTACATGCAGCCTACATGGAATGGACTGTGTGGTACATCATGTAGTCCAAGCTTGTGACCTAAATGGGTATTTTGACCTGTATTTCAACACCTCCCGCCTGCAATAGTACCTGTTCAGCCTGTTTTTTGGGAAATCTCCAAGCAAGGGAAATCAATATTATTCACTTAATTCATTCATATACCACTTTTCTGTCAATGTGGTCTGCAGTTGAAACTACTAATATATAGTTATATATATATAGAGAGAGAGAATGACAAAACCAGAATAATATTGGGTCATTGGTGGTCTCTCAGAAGCTGATGATATGAGCTCCCTGTCCTGGGATTTTCTCTTCGTGCCTTTTCATCTTGTTCTTGTGCAGCCTGGGAGCTGAAGCATTAAGAAAAGCTTGGGGGAAGCCAGCATAAGTGCCCTCTACTTTTTGCTGGGCTCCAGCTCCCATTGTCCCTGGTAATGCTTGTTGGGGATGATGGGAAGAGTTGCCACAACATCTGGAGAACATCATGTTGGCTACTTCTGCTCTAGATCAGCTTGACTCTCTTCAATTTTCAGAACAATCTGATAGCTTGAGCATTCTGTCTGACACCAATGCTATCCAGTTTCTATAGATACCTACAAAGTTTCAAGTATAAGCTAACCCCTTGTAGTTGAAATTCTGCATAATGCTTACCTAGTAGATATTTGTAACAGGTTGAATGGCCTAACTTTATGACGAGGTGTAAAAAGCAGGCCAGCCCTGCTGTGGAAAGAAATATGGGTTGGGGGGACTGTACCAAATGGGCAAAGTAATCTCATTGGAGGAGATACTTGATTAGACTACCAATGATGGATTTCAGTGTTTCACTGTTAAATCAGTTTAATAGATGAAAATGGGTTTGATGTCTGTGGGAAGAATGATTAAGCAGTCCTTCTCTTGCTAACTTCTGAAAGATACTTAAGGTCCCCATGAGATGGCACCATCAATTTTTTAAAAAAACAATTATTGACTACTTTTGGTCTTAAGCCTGGTAGGAGAGCAGGTTTGAATGACATCAGCTGAGCCTCCTTCATTCATCCCTCATTTTCTAGGTAGCTTCCTGCAGATGTAATTTTCTAGGAGATGTTTTGTTGTCTTTAGACCTTCTGCTGTTTAGGTATCTCTCTTCTTTCAGATCTGTTTTCTTTCTTTCAGATAAGGCTTCCAGAAGAGAGTGTTTCCCTGACCTCACATGCTTCCTGTTCTTTTGCAGCAAGAACAATTGTGCTAACATTGATTAACTTTTCCTCTTAGGTCAATATCCTACACAGCCTTCCTACCCGGTTCAACCTCTTGGTAATCCATCAGTCTTCCCACAGACCATACAGCTTCCTCAGGCTCCACCTTACACCGAGGCCCCTCCAGCTTACTCTGAAGTACGTACCTTGTTCTTCTTTTATAAGAATGTAAGACTAGGCCTGCTGAATCAGACCAAAGGCATTTCCCCACTAATAAAGATAACAGTACTGATTAGTAATGATGGCGGGGATGGAGTTGCTGCTTACAGTAGTATATTATCAACTACCTTGCGCATTGTGGCATTTTTAACTTCAAATATAGACTTTCCAAGCTCTGCCTTAGCCGCATGCAAACGTTTGCATGTCTGGATGCTTCATCACGATCCTGGGTCCTGCATGGCAACAGAGACAACTTGCTTTCAAACTTTGTGTCAACACCTGTTGATCTCATAAGGGGTCGTAGTATGCCCATAACATGCCACTGTGGCAACGAAGAGTTGATATGGCACCATTCTCATAAGGGTCTTGCTGAGCTTAGTGCCTTTGCTGAGCCTAACCGGCTTTGAATTGTGTAGCACATGGTGACTCAGCTTCCAACGACAATGGTTTACAGAGAACACATTATACCAGTGTTATAGTTCCCTTCTGCCTTCTGAGTACACCTCAAGGTTGTTGCTGTTTATTTCTCCCTTTTAAAAATGTTTTATCAAACCCTTCCCCACAGAAGTGGAGTACCTGATTGTGCTGGACTACAGTTCCCATAATCCTTGACCATTGGCTATGCTGGTGGGGATGATGAGAGTTGAGAGTCCATCTGCATCTTTACCAGCTGAGTCCCAAGCTGCCTAAGATACTGCCTCATTTATTCTGTCCCACAATACCCCCCACTCTTGGGTTTATCATTCATGTACCAAGGACCGCAAGAGGACCGAGAGATGTGAAGAGACCTTCTCACAGGCTGGTCCAACATCTTGCATCTCTCTTCTCTTGGGGACTTATTTGGAGATAAGCATCTTTTGGAAATCTTTTGTGGCTAGCTATTAGCTGCCAGGGTTAAGGTAGCAATGATGGTGGATTTTAGGTGAACTGTTATACCAGCTTTTAATTTCATCATAGCTGAATGTATTTGTGTGTGTTTACCTACTTTTATTCAGGATGGGCTAGGGCCAATCTTTGTATTTTTAAAATAGATAATGGAAATTATGTGAATTGCTTGTGATGTTGACTGTTGCTGTTATACATCTATATGCACGACATTTTACTGAGTAACTCAAGCAAAGAAGACAGGTCTTCACCCTGAGCTTGCAGTCAAAATTTAAACTGTGGAGGTGATGAAGGAGGGTTTTAGAAGCAAGAGGCTGCTGTGGCTGATAGTGCTGCTTACACTCTTGACCTCTTAAAACAGGCACCGGGCATCAACATTCAATGCTGGCTACTACGGCCAGTTGTTCAGATATTAATTGATGGCTCCTTCTGTTTTGATGGAGTAGCTCTGTTCCAAAATGGGAAGAGGAGGTAGGCAGGTCAGTTGGTGGCAGAGTAATTTCTAGGCATGTTTGCTTGCAGTCTTGGGCTTGATCCCCACATTTAGAAGAGTGGCCTCCATGGCTGGGAAGGAGTTTTGCCTTAAATCAGGCATCCCCAACCTGCGGCCCTCCAGATGTTTTGGCCTACAACTCCCATGATCCCTAGCTAACAGGACCAGTGGTCAGGGGTGATGGGAATTGTAGTCCAAAACATCTGGAGGGCCAAAGGTTGGGGGTGCCTGCCTTAAATTCTAGGGAGCTGCTGTGATTCAGTGTGTCCCATGGATTTATGTTTTTCCCCACATGTTATAGGGCAGGCATGTCCAACTCCCAAGAGGCTGTTGAGCTTTTTTTTTGGGGGGGGGGGGAGGGTTGGCCAAAGACAATCTACCTGAGACACCCCTGCAATCTACCTGTTGGACATGTCATGATGGATAAGCACCAGGTGCTACAAACAAACAGGCTGAGACTGTCAGCCTTACATCTCTTGCTTGCGAGTTTGCCAGTAGCACCTGGCTGTCTGCTGCTAGAAATAAAATGCCGCGGGCTTAATGGTCTGTTTTAGCAAGTCATTTCGTCTGTTCTTCAATTAATAAAATGCATTTCTGTTGTCAGTGGCAATAAGCCACTTTTTTCTAAGTTTGATGTGTTGAGGTGTAAGGTTTCTGATTAAGGGGCCTTGGAATAAGAAACATTTTCTGTGCTCTCTCTCTCTCTCCCTGCAGCTCTACCGCCCAAGTTTTGTGCACCCCGGAGCTGCCACTGTACCTACCATGTCTGCAGCTTATCCTGGTGCCTCCCTGTATCTTCCTATGGCTCAATCCATGGCTATGGGTCCAATGGGCTCTTCAGTTCCCCTGGCATTTTATCCGGTGGGCCCTGTCTATCCTCCTGGGTCCACTGTTCTTGTTGAAGGGGGCTTCGACGCGGGAGCACGGTTTGCAGCTGGTGCCCCTGCAAATATTCCTGTAAGTAGGGGGCGAAGTAGAGTGATTGCATCTTTCTTGTTTTTAAAATAGTCTGGGAAGGGGTGTGTGTGTGCTTAAAAATTATGTCAGGGATTGTTTATTGCTGGAGAACCTGGTATACAAACTAAGCAGTATCAAAGCAAATACCTGTAGTGTAGAGGAATCGGCAGCGTTTCTTTATTGAAATAATGAACAGCTCTGCAGGGATTATAAGGTCTTTCAGCCATAAGCTTCACTCTGGGTGTAAATTGTGGTAGACAAGCCATGAGATCAGCCAGAGAAAACACCAAGCAACCTGATTTTCCTGAGCTTCTCTAAAGTTTAGTGAGAACATAAGGTAAAGGTAAAGGGACCCCTGACCATTAGGTCCAGTCTCTGGGGTTGCGACGCTCATCTCGCTTTATTGGCCAAGGAAGCCGGCGTACAGCTTCCGGGTCGTGTGGCCAGCCTGACTAAGCTGCTTCTGGCAAACCAGAGCAGCACACGGAAACGCCGTTTACTCCCCCCCCCCCGGAGCGATACCTATTTATCTACATGCACTTTGACGTGCTTTCGAACTGCTAGGTGGGCAGGAGCAGGGACCGAGCAACAGGAGCTCACCCCGTCACGGGGATTCGAACCGCCGACCTTCTGATCGGCAAGTCCTAGGCTCTGTGCTTTAACCCACAGTGCCACCCGCGTCCCTTAGTGAGAACGTAAAAGTAGCTAATTTCCTTCAGTTCCGGTTTGTGCACTGAAGCTACCGCAAGGATGCTTTGTGGGTAGGCTGCTATCTTTGGGAGGGGATTATCTCCTCCTTCCGAGGGGATGCCCCCTTTTCTTCTGGAAAGCCCAGCTTTGCAGAAGTTAGGTTTTGCAAAACCATCGGGGAGAGGCGAAGGCCGTAGGCTGGATCTTTGGGAGGCTTGTTGGCTTCAGGGCAGTCCATGGAGCTCTTCTGCTCTGTGCAGGTCTTCTGCTGCCTTGCCTTTCTAGGCCATGCCTTTTTAAAAAAATTGTATGGAAATAAATCTGCACTGCATTTTGTCTGCCAATGCACAGCATGTTGCCGTTCGTTTTTCGCAGCTGACTGCTGCTGGCTGCAGAAACAGCCGAGGTGGATGGGCAAGCATATAGTCCCACCACAGGTACCGCTGTGTGGTCTGCAATTGTAAATCACTGCTGGTATGTGGAGGCAGGGACAACTTGCTCAGCGAATGACAGAATCCCAGGCTCGGTCCATGACATCTCAGCTAAAAGGGTCTTTTGAGTAGGGCTGGGAAGGCGTCTCTGCCCCAGACCTGGGTGGAGTTCTGCCAGTTGACAGTTCCTAGCTCTGAGCTAGATGGATCAACGGTCTTGCTTGGTTGAGGGCAACTTTATAGGATCATTTGTGCAGAACAGTCTGCATCATTCACTGTTATTAAGCATTAGTAAAGTTAAAGGGACCCCTGACCATTAGGTCCAGTCCTGGCCGACTCTGGGGTTGCGGCGCTCATTCTGCTTTATTGGCCAAGAGAGCCGGCATACAGCTTCCGGGTCATGTGGTCAGCATGACTAAGCCTCTTCTGGTGAACCAGAACAGCACACGGAAACGCCGTTTACCTTCCCGCTGGAGTGGTACCTATTTATCTACTTGCACTTTGACGTGCTTTCGAACTGCTAGGTTGGCAGGTGCTGGGACCGAGCAACGGGAGCTCACCCCGTCGCGGGGATTCGAACCACCGACCTTCTGATCGGCAAGTCCTAGGCTCTGTGGTTTAACCCACAGCGCCACCCGCATTACATTGCTGTAATACTGCCTTTTTAGCACGCAGCCCACAGACTGGATGTGGTTTGGATGCCATGTTGCCCAGCCTCCCAAATTCTTGTTTAAACCCTGGTTTTTGGAGCCCTGCTTGGCAGCCCATGGACAGTCTGGGGGCTGCTTGCTTGTTGCACCTTCTATATGCTTTCCCACCCCCCGTTAACAGGTTGCTGTTTTTCTCTTCCAGCCCCCGCCTCCCGGCTGCCCCCCCAACGCGGCCCAGTTGGCTGTCATGCAGGGCGCCAACGTTCTAGTGACGCAACGGAAGGGCAACTTCTACATGGGAGGCTCTGATGGCGGCTACACCATCTAGTGAAAGAAGGGGGGGGCTACATTGGTGTAAAGGAACGACATCACATACTGTCAGCACTTCTCACAATGTAACCGCTTTAGTCGTATTAACCTGGAGTTGCAGTTTAGACACATGATGATACGGGGTGTCTTCCTGGTGCCCTGTCCCTTCAGGCACTTTTTTCTTTTTAAAAATTAAAAAAAGCAAACTTTAAATACAAAAACCATGCAATGGTAGGAGTGCCTCTCTCAAACTTTGGGGGTTAAATTGTGAAATGAACGCGAGCTGAGCTGCCCCACAGATTTCCCTTTTAATTCCACTGGAGAGTGCTTTCACTGCAGCTCTCTCTCTCTCTCTCTCTTTCGGCTTTTATTAATCAACTATATATAAAACCAGGGGGTGGGGTGGGGGTGGTGAGAAAGGGACGGGAGGGGGGGGAGAAACGGAAGTCTGGAAGAAAGCCTAGCTTCCAAGTATCATATAAAGCTTGCAGATAATGCCTGTTGCCAATGAATAGGATTAAGATATTGCATCCTCTTTCCTCTTCCATAGAATCAGTGGTGCTGGGGAGAAAGGTGGCCGGATATAATTCTTTTGGGAGGGAGGGCATCGATGGCAGATGCCTGTTCGAGAAGCAGGACTGGTGGGCTAAGTTCTCAATTTCAGAACCCTCCAGCCAGTTCCTTCTCCTCACTTTCGCTCTCTGTTCCTTTGCTAGGAAGGTATGCAGCTAGAGTGTTGGCCCGAGATGTTCTTTTTCTACACTCTTAAGTGATCTTGGACTCCTTTGCACATTAAGATTCTAACTGAAGCCATGTTTTGGTGCCAGAAACACAACATTTCATTAAATGCTTCCTGTACTTTTCAAAATAAAAATGGAAATGAGAGCTGAAAATGAAACAATTTTTTTTAAGGGAAAAAAAAGCAACCCGGTGTATTGATAACAAAACTGTATGGAATGTTATTCAGGCTAGAGAGACGAGAAGGTCTGTTGGATGTCAATCAGCATGCAAAGGTGCTGGCTTTGATGGGTTGGTTTTTTGTTTTGTTTTAGATTCAAACTTTACAAAGTGGCTTGGGTACAATGAAGTCTTATTAGAGTTAAGAAGAATATTTCAGGGATCCTCAATCTTTTTTGTTGTTGTTTGCTTTTGTTTTTATGAATTAAAAAAATTATCAGATTTGGTGAATATATTTTATCTTAATTTTCTGTGTGTTGTATGTGTCATGGTCAACCATACAGCTGACTGTTAATGAAAGGTTGGGATTCTAGGTCTCTCTGTAAACACTGTGGTGCACTTAACTTGTGGACTTTTTATACTAAAAACAAGTAGAATAAAGGCTATTTTGAAAATTTGAATAAAGTGACAAAGTTGAATTTAGCCTCTTAAATTCCTGTCCATCACAACACCGTAACATTTAAAATCTGTTTTGCCTTTATTTGTTTCTCTGTGCATTGTAACTGGTCAGCGTGAAACACCGTTTGCTTATTCAACTTTTAGCGTCAAACAACACGGAATGTGAAATGTGTCTTTAGGAAGCCCATCAGTTGTTTTTAAAATTGGTGGGGGAGTCCTTACGACTGCAGCAGCATGCAGAGGGGAGATTTAACCCTCTTCTTCTGCATTGTGGTCCAGACCTCTCTCAAACTACTATTATCCCCAGCCATATGGTGAGAATGGTTTTTGTCAGGACTGCCGTGGGGAGAGTAACACATACTCTGATCTCAATGATCTGTTCCCTTGCGTGATTAATTTAAAAATACTGACAGGTTTCCTAACAATGCATGTAGCGTAGCAGTGGGGAACGTGAGCCCCTGCAGGTGATGTTAGTTGGCAACTCTCATCTTCCTTGACCGTTGCCTAGGCTGCCTGGGGCCTAGGGAGGCAAAGGTACCCCACTCTTGGCTTCGCATTACATTCAGTTTGGCGTTAAGACTCTAATTCTGAACACATTTACACAGACATGACAGATTTCATCCCCAAAACTTTCAAATTAAGTTGCGTTTAAGATTGCATATCACCCACCACTGCTTTTATGGACGGCTGGTTTGCTACATACGATGTTGGGCCGCCGTCCAAAATGGCACTGCCACATCAGATTCTTCCCCTTTCTGTAGTGTGTGCAAACATTTACCTCCAAACTGGTCTGGTCAAATGCTTTTTTTCCGTATAAAATTTTGAAAGCAACTTGCAGAATTTGAGAAAATAGTTTAAAAAGCAAACAGCCGGTTTAGAACATACAAATACAGAAATGCAAAACCCCAAAAGCAATGAGTCATTCACAGTGTGTGCATTTCCTTGCTGATGCCAGATCAGTGCCATTGGGGATGCCAGGCTGTTGGTCATGTGTTGCAGAGCGAAGGGAGAGAACTTCCGTGGGGCTGCTGTTTTCACCTGTTGCAGAACACTTACATTCTCAAGATACAATCTTAATACCGTAACGCAGATCTTCTTAAAGGGTGAAGCAGAAAAATGCATCAATTGCCACAGGAACCTTGATATCAAAATTTCAGAATGCAGGGGGGGACGAGCCAAAGAGAAGAAAGATTAAATTTCATTTTTCTCCTCATTGTCACACACAATGTAAAGCATGAGTCTGAGAGAGAAGCTGTTTGAAACTGCATGAATTGTACAATCATCAGAGACGCACAGTTGAGTAGACACATACTGGCTTTGTCATACACTGGAGATTTTCACATGACTCTCAAACTCTCTTGAAGTCTCAGTCACATGCATGAGTGTTTATTACTGCAGAGAAGCAAGGTTAAATGTAAATATGCTTTATGTTATGACCACTGCAGGTTTATAGGTGCTGGAAAAGCAAAAGTAGTAGTATAATTTTTTTGCCAATCCATTTTCCTGCACCTGTCACAGTCATCTGAGTGAATCAGGCTTAGATACTGCTATGGTAGTAAGAGGGAAAGAAGTGTTCAGTACTCCCAGTGATGTATTTGCCTACTCAAACCCCAAATAAACACAGAGGGCTCATAGAGGGTCTGTGTGTTGCAACTTGACTTTGAGCATCCCAGAGATCACAGCTCTTGGACCTGTAAAGGGGCAACCTCTATGCTGTCACAATACACAACTCCTTCCGGTGCCTAGTCGAGCTGCTTAGGAACACGGTGTGATATAAAATGAAATAAATAATACAGCTTTTAATTCCTTGACAAAAATGGGTGTCAAATGTAACAAACAGTTTACAGTGTAATAAACGGTTTACTTAAGATCTCAGTGTCCAAAGCATGCTGGCAGCTATATAAAATATTCTTCCTTCTCGCCTTTACACGGGAGATCCTCCATTTGGACTGACCCCTCTGGATCTGGTGGAGCTTGTTCATAGGTGCGGTAGGTCCCTTTGTTCTTGTACAGGTAAACGATGATCAGCACGACGACCGAAAGGAGAGTGACGAAAACCACAGCGATGACAGCTTTAAACAAAAATTGAGAAAAGGGGAACTTTAGCACAAACAGGTCTGGAGCAGACTCACCAGTGCTTTGAGTTTAGGAACAGGCTGCCAGCATGTATGTTTCTGCCTCTTAGCGTGTCACACAACCTTCACCCCTCCCATTTTGCAGAAATAAGCAAATATATGCAAAGTAGCTTGATAAGAGTAGCTTGAGTTTGACCAAACTGCGGGAGGCAGTGGAAGACAGGAGTGCCTGGCGTGCTCTGGTCCATGGGGTCACGAAGAGTCGGAAACGACTAAACAACAACAGCTTGATAGGCATCATATATACAGGTTGCAGAAGCCTGCTATTTTGGGCACGGAATGTGTGTGATGGCAGTCCAGATTTTTTTTTTTTAATGAGTACTGTTACATCCCAGATCTAGAAGGATGCTAGAGGGCTCTGCTGTAGAGGATTTATGTGTGCATTTATGTGTTATGCAGCCTGCAGTCTGCACTGCTGGCTTCCCATGGCTGCATAGTGGCTGGGCTAAAGCACATCTGCGGAGATACAGGCAACAATACCTCCTATGACAGCCACGTTGGCATCCTCTTGCAAAGTTGGTGTATTCATCTTCTTCATAAATGGGCTGGTCAGCAGCTTTTCTTTATGCATAAGAGAAAGAGATGGATGTCAGAGGCATCTGAATACAGTGAAGTAGAGAGAACGAAGATACCTGGGACTAGGGGGACTCAAGATTCAAAACCTTGTTCAGTCATAGAACCCACTGGGGGATCTTGAACTAATCACTTGTAGCCCCAGCAACCTCACAAGAGTGTTGTGGAAATAATAAAGTGGGAACTGGGCACCTGTGTCACCCTGAGGTGCCTGGAGGAATGATGAGATTAAAAAGGTAAAGGGACCCCTGACCATTAGGTTCAGTCGTGACTGACGTTGGGGTTGTGGCGCTCATCTCGCTTTATTGGCCGAGGGAGCCGGCGTACAGCTTCCGGGTCATGTGGCCAGCATGACTAAGCCGCTTCTTGTGAACCAGAGCAGCACACAGAAAAGCCGTTTACCTTCCCGTTGGAGCGGTACCTATTTATCTACTTGCACTTTGACGTGCTTTCAAACTGCTAGGTTGGCAGGAGCAGGGACCAAGCAACGGGAGCTCACCCCGTTGCGGGGATTCGAACCTTCTGATCGGCAAGTCCTAGGCTCTATGGTTTAACCCACAGCGCCACCCGCGTCCCTAAGATGAGATTAAAATGTCATAAATAAACTGTTTTCCATAAAACGGCACTCACCCTTTGCACGATGGGCAGGATCCAACAAAGCAGTTCCATTAACGCAAGGATTTGTGGCTAACAGAACTCCCCATCCCTCTCCTCTTCCCACGCCCTCCCCAAATCTGCTCCAGAGGGTTGGGGGAACCCCCAGAAGACCTTTAGGGGGCATGCAGTGAGAGAAGGAAGAAGGGCTCTTTGATTGCACAGCCAAATGGCCTTGCATTAACAGCACTACTTTAGCGGATGTTGACCAATGTATTCCCTGGCACACTTTTTTTTTTTTTTTTAAGTGTGCCATACAAGATCAAGCTGTGGTTCAGAGACTTAAAATCGGTTCAGTAGGTTTGTAGCAACTGCAGCAAAATAAACGTAATAATAGCCACAAAACCTCTAAGCTTCCACTTTCATTAGAATGATTTTGGCCAAGTAGTCTTGATGAAATAACGGGTGCTTGAGGCCAAAATGCTGGTGGAGTTAAAAAAAAAAAAAAAAAAGGCTGTTGAAGCCAAAGGGAAACTTGCTCAATTAAAGACTTCAACATTTGGCTCAGGTTATAAAGGCCAGAAGCAGGTCTAGCAGTTTTGTTTCATACTGTTTTCAAGGCTTAGGTAATCAGGCTTTCTCAGTGAATATCTCATTATGTACAGCGGCAGAGTTGCCAGCGGGAACAAATGTTCTGCCAGCAACTCATTTCTAAAGATTTCCAAACCTTGCCAGTATTCAGACACTATCTTTGGGGGCCCAGTTTCTTTAAAAGAATGCATGACATCAAGGGATATTATATCATTAAGGGTCTTAAGGAACAGCCCAGGTTTCTCAGTGCCCGGGAGAGAGACATGTTTTTCCTACACTTCCTCAAAACCTAACCACCTACCCAGAATATCCTCTTCTCCCTTTCCCCCCTTGTGTCTTAAATATCCTTCAGAGTTGTATTACCTGACTGCAGATCAGCAGCAATCATTGATACCTGCCCTATCTGAATTATTCAAGGCAGGTAACAGCAATATACACACTAGCAATCTACAGATTTATCTGGTTAGCTGAAATTGGTATGTGAAATTCTGGCTCTATTCTAGACAGCCCTGTTGGCCTCTCAATCTCTTGTGCCCCTCTCACCTGGAGCTATCTTTTTTTATTTATTTTTGAAAGGGAAAAAAATAAATAAACAGAACCCTCTTACCCTTGAGCGCACTCACCTGTGGGTAATGGTGGTGTTGGAATAGCTGCCATGGCACCCTCTTTCCCCCGCTTAAAACTTCAGAATCTTTCAGAGCTGGGTGGGGAAAATAAAAATTCTGTAATAGCGCTGTTAACAGAAATCGACAGGTCCCCTCCTCGTATGGGTGTGAAATGAGCAAGTTTTAAAAAAGATCTTACTCCTCAGAGGGATAATTTAAACGTCATCACACTTTCTAGTCTCCTAGAACTCCGTGAGACGTAACTTTAAGTAAATATTTATGTATTTAAAACATTTCTATCCCACTGGTTTTATTCAACAGTTTCTAGTCATTTTGTGAAAATTAAGGCTGGGCAAAGGCAGCAGGGCTGTCATTTTGTAAAGTGAGGCAGCAGGAAGGAAGGGGGCAGGGGAAGGAGAGAGGTGCGGGGTGCTTTTAGACGGGGGCTTAATATTGCAAGGGGGTTATTGGCAACAGTATTTTTTAAAAAATAAAAATTAATCGGATTTCCCCCTGTGTAATAATTTTTTTTAAAGGTCTTATATATATAATAAGGGTAAAGGAACCCCTGAACATGAGGTCCAGTCGTGGCCGACTCTGGGGTTGCGGTGCACATCTCGCTTTACTGGCCGAGGGAGCCGGCATACAGCTTCCGGGTCATGTGGCCAGCATGACTAAGCCGCTTCTGGCGAACCAGAGCAGCGCATGGAAACACTGTTTACCTTCCCGCCGGAGCGGTACCTATTTATCTACTTGCACTTTGACGTGCTTTCGAACTGCTAGGTTGGCAGGAGCAGGGACCGAGCAATGGGAGCTCACCCCATCACAGGGATTCAAACCACCGACCTTCTGAATGGCAGATGAAGCTGATGGACTACATGGAACTGGCGGAAATGACTGGCAGAATCCGAGACCAGGGAGAAGAGTCAGTGGAAGAAGATTGGAAAAAATTTAAAGTATACTTACAGAAACATTGTAAAATTAATGAGTGTTAGAAGGATGCTGGAATGAAGCTATATGGTTTTAGTAGAAATGCAACAAAGAATTAAGTAAAAGCTGATTGATAACGGGTTAAAATGAAAAAAATTTAAGGTTAGACCGTTAAGATAAATTATAGAATAAAAATTGAGAAAGATGGGAAGAATTTGCTGAAATAGTGAATTGAAGTAGAATACAAAAAAAGGGAGGTGTGAGGAGGTCGATGAAACAAGTAAAGGAAAGGTAAAGATATGGAATATTGGATGTCTGTTTTAGTTTCTTCTTTGTTTTTTTTGCTGTATTGTTGTATTGCTTTTCTATGTTCCCCCCCCCTTTTTTATTGTTGTCTTTTTTCTTTTTTTCTGTAATTTTTAAATTTTTAATTAATATCATTTTAAAAAAACCAAACAAACCGCCGACCTTCTGATTGGCAAGTCCTAGGCTCCGAGGTTTAACCCACAGCACCACCTGCATCCCTATATATATAATAAATGTTCATAAATGTACCAAGCAAACACGTACATAAATATGTAGACCACATGTCTGAAGTGGCACGGGAGGACAGTCCTGAAACCATTTTGGCTCCCCAGCTGACCAAATGTTTCTCTGCAAGGAGGGAGGGAGTGAGGGAACCTTCCCATTGTCTCAGGAATTAAGTGATTACCATCTCAAAGGAATGGCCCAACTACCAGAAAGGGCAATCAGGTAACTTGCCAGACAGGAGACAAACAATGCACTCAGATCTCTGTTGTAGACCGCCTTTTCTGTGATGTAGGGATGATGTTTCTGGGGGTGGTCTTGGACTCCAGGGCGGGCAATTTTAAATGTCTATATAAGGGCAGGCACACCTTTGTTCTGGCTCCTCCTCCTCTCTCCTGCATGTGGGGGAGCACCCTGTTGCAATAGCTTTAATAAAGATCAGGCTTACTAGCTGCTTTGCTTCTCAATATTCTCTGGTTGGCCTCTGTTCTTTTCTCCTACCGATGGGGAAACTACAAAGGACTCTATAAGGGCTCTTGTGTACCCCATAAGGGAATAAGGGCAGATTTTGTTTACAACACCTGAAAGGGAAAATATAAATTAAATGGGGTGGGTGGGAAGACAGGCTGGCATTTTGAAGACCACATTGTGAGGCCACTGCAAAAACAAAACAAAAAACTTTGCACGCATGAGAAGAACCGACGCCACAATAAACACCCATCTAGTAGTATCTGTAGACATGTCATGATGGATAGTGTAGTCTAGATGTTATCGCTGAACGAGGAAGCAAGGTTGTTGGCAGAGAGTGGGGAAGAGAGAGGCAGAGGAGCAAACGTGGAGCAGGGCATGACCCATATAATCCAAATATTGTCATGTGGTTTAAACACCACTTAATCATGGAAAAGCTCATTTATCAAATGAAGGAAGCAGAGCGGCAGGCTAAGCCAGAAACATGTATCATTTCCTAGATTACCCAGATCACCCGACATCACAGATTCAAGTTACACTTGACAAATATAAAACACGATTAACCTGTAGTCCTTTTAAGACAACCTTCAGCTCTTGATTGCGCTGTTATTATTTGTGTCCTAAAACAACTAAGTGGCACTTTGGAAATTAATGCATTTATTGTGACATAATCGCTCATTAGTCTACAGTCCACTTCATTAGATACATGAATTGCAGCATAAAAATAATTAAGAAGTTAGTCTTTAAGGTGCCAGAACTTGTTTCTGCTGCAATAATAAACTAGCCCTCTGGAATCAGTGCCCCATAAGCTTGCTTAGGTACTGTTATTTTATTGTAGTCATTTTTATATTATAAAATGTGAAAGGGTGAGGACAAGGGGGCAATATGAAAGAGAAGGGAATGGACCAGAAAAATCAGAGAGAGACGTTCTTTTTCAAAGCATGCATCTTACTCAGCTTTAATAAAATAAAACACTATTTAACACTTTTCTAATTCTGCACAAATCTGTTAACCTTTCCCCTCCTTCCTTTCTTTCACTGTTGTATAACTCGTACACTTTGCCACTGCTGCATATTCATATGTACATTGTTAATTCCTGTTTTGTTATGGTTGGGAATTGAGCCTTTTCCCAATATTCTGCACAGCATAACCTACCAGCTAAAATCTTATATGAAACTAATTCCCTTGGCTGTACTGGGACTTCTTTCAGTATACATTAGTAAAAATATAGTCAAATCCAAATCTAATTTCACCTGTGCTACTTTTTCTGTTTTTCTCCTTATCCCAAACACAGCCACTATATATGACATTCACTTCCCTCCTTTAGTCTGTATTTCTTTGCTCCGCTCATAATTAAAAGTACGGCTGTATTCTTATGCCATTCACATGGGAGCAAACCCCATTGAACTCAACAGGACTTCCTTCTGAGATGTTTCTTAGTAGTACTCACTTTTTATTCTGAAGTGAAACAGGAGGACAGAGGAGTTCTTGGTGGAAACAAGATCCAAAACATGGCAGTGAGTGGGTGTCAGGCTAAAAGCAGAGGCGAGAGGAGGAAGTCGACGAGAGACCGCGCGACGCAGCTGAATCAGAAAGGAATATTTGCATGAATGTTGCAATCCCAAAGATGAATGGTGGGAATCTTGTAAGAAGGGAAGGGAGGAAGTATCAATGCCTGAAATTAAAACTGAAGCTAGCTATGATGCAATATTGCATGGCAACAGAGGCGCGCTGTGAAATACAGATGTACAAGTGAGACCTGCAACAAAATGTTGCAGTGTGAAGAGTTCCTGTTCACTGATCAGTCCATCAGTCATGTCCTCCTATAGGATACTCTGGGCTGTTTGCGGCTCCCTCCTGCCACATACACTTTAGGGGTTATTCTTTTTTAAAAAAAATAGATTATGTTGTTCAGTTATATACATTTCAATAGTTATCATCATTCTAACAATTCAAAACTCAACTTCCTTCCTCCTCTTTCTGCGGTTCCTTAAATTTATTTTTATCATTTCCTGCATATTCTAAGTTAACTTATTCTTTTATTCATCTACTTTAAATATATATTATGAAACTGCAAGTTATTACAATAATCCTGCCAATGTCCTTATCTGTTTACGTTTTGTTCACAAATATTCAACAAATAATAATAATAATAATAATAATAATAATAATAATAATAATATATTATTTATACCCTGCCCATCTGGCTGGGCTTCCCCAGCCACTCTGGGCGGCTTCCCAAAAAATATTAAAATACTGTAATACATCAAACATTAAAAGCTTCCCTAAACAGGGCTGCCTTCAGATGTCTTCTAAAAGTCTGGTAGTTGTTGTTCTCTTTGACATCTGGTGGGAGGGCGCTCCATAGGGAGGGCGCCACTACCGAGAAGGCCCTCTGCCTGGTTCCTTGTAACTTGGCTTCTCACAGTGAGGGAACTGCCAGAAGGCCCTCGGTGCTGGACCTCAGTGTCCGGGTAGAATGATGGAAACAAACCATTTCCATTCTTTTATAAAAGGTTTGTTACCTTGATTTCTTATTTTTCCGGTAAGTTTTGCCATTTCTTCATAGTCCATAAGTTTTTGTATCCATTCTTCTTTCGTCGGGACTTCTTCTTCTTTCCATTTTTGGGCAAATAACATTCTTGCTGCTTTAGGGGTTTGCATTGCTACAAACCTTGGGGTTCCCCAAAGCACACCACTAGGGCATGGGAGGTACCATTCTGGCTACATAAGCAATGGGACTTATGCCAGACTGCTGGTAATACAGGGAATGATTCGCTCATTTATTCATTCCATAACATTTATGAAATTATTGTAAGAAACCTGAAAGTGGTTTGCAAAATGATAATTTTGCAACGTTACACTTTGAAGGCAGAGAAGCCTTCAAAAGGGATGGAGGTGGGTGGATGGGGAGTAGGAACTGGTACCTCAAGTCTCGTCAGGGAGGCAGGCCCAGGCCACCACCACAGCCTTGGGGGAAATGGGTGTGAGCAAAGGAGAGGAATAACCTTCTTCCTCTTCGTCAATCTCTCGTAGCCGAGTAAGATTGTCTTCCATAAACATGGTTTTAACAATGAGTCCGTAAGTGACTGTGGAGGCCAGTTCTGGATCCACACGTCCTTCCAC